TATATGCTCCCCCCTCCCCCCAATGGGGATCTAGCCCACAACCCAGGCGTGTGCCTAGACTGGGAATTGAACCTCCAGGTTCACAGGTCAATGTTCAACCACTGAGCCACGCCCACTGGGCTCTCATTCATTCTTTGGTTTACTTTCCCTTTATTCTTTCTTAAGTTGTATCACCTTAAACATATCAATAAGTATATTTGAAATGCCGTGTTTTTATTTATTGCAGTCACCTGCTCTGGAAGTACACTTGGAATGGGTAAGTCATTTTTCTCGTGGATGAAACGGAAGGGGACTTTCTTGTTGCATTTTAGGGCGACAATGAAGTCAGGATCAAAGCTGACTCTTCAATTAATCAGGGAGACAAATGCTAGGGTGTCTGCTTCCGGTTTGCATGGGTGGATATGCCCGGGGGAGGGAAAGGGGTGCTGAGAGGGAGACTGGGGTAAGATAACGCTCACTGCCTCTTTGGATGTGCTCTGGGCTGACCCCGTTGAGGCTATTCTGGGCGCCCCATGGAGGCCACCGTTGGGCCAGGCCGCGGAGATGACCACACCGAGCCGGTGCCAACCCCCCAGTCAGTGGCATGTGCTGCTTCAGGAGAAATGCTTGCCATGCTCTTTTAGGGGCGGCTTGGTTTGGGGCCTTGGGACCCCTGTCCCCAAGGAGTGATATAAACCCAGACCGCAGACAGGACTTGCGTGCACGTACACATATGCCCAGTCGGACATGGCTGATTTCAGAGCATGTGAGTGGAAATGAGGCCTTCCCACTAGCAAGCCCCACCTGCCTGCCCCCAGTCTGGGCCAGCTTCCCATCCGACACCCGTCCACGGGAGGGATCAGGGCTGAGTCTCTCCCCGTCACCTGTTCTCTGCTTCCGCTCCCAGCCCAGTGCTCCTCTGAGCTCAGCAGGACACCCGTGGCTATTCTGGGCGCCCCATGGAGGCCACCTTTGGGCCAGGCCGCGGAGATGACCACCCCGAGCCGTGTGTGCCAACCCAGTCAGTGGCATGTGCTGCTTCAGGAGAAATGCTTGCCATGCTCTTTTAGGGGCGGCTTGGTTTGGGGCCTTGGGACCCCTGTCCCCAAGGAGTAATATAAACCCAGACCGCAGACAGGACTTGCGTGCACCTACACATATGCCCAGTCGGACATGGCTGACTTCAGAGCATGTGAGTGGAAATGAGGCCTTCCCACCAGCAAGCCCCACCTGCCTGCCCCCAGTCTGGGCCAGCTTCCCATCCGACACCCGTCCACGGGCAGGGATCAGGGCTGAGTCTCTCCCCGTTACCTGCTCTCTGCTTCCGCTCCCAGCCCAGTGCTCCTCTGACCTCAGCAGGACACCCGTGAGTCTGAAACAAGCCCAATCCCTATGAATGTTTAAAGGGTTTCTGTTTCCAGTGGCTGCAAGGAAACAGGCCTAACTTATTAAAAAACCAACTGTGAAAAACTTCTAAATTATTAAAAAACGACTTTTAAAGAACTCCCAAGGTACGAATGACCTAGTCTTCAGGGAAATGTATATGGGCCTAGGTCTGCATTCTTGGAAACTATTTCCATTATTACACTTTGTTTTGTTGTTGTTGTTGTTAATCCTCACTTGAGGATTTTTCCATTGTTTTTTTAAAGGAAGTGGAAGGGAGGGAAGAGGGGAGAGAGAGACAGAGAGAAAGCGAGAGACAGACATATACACACACACACATCGATGTGAGAGAGAAACATCATCGATCGGTTGCCTCTCATACATTCTCCTGACCGGTAATGGAACTCGCAAACTAGGTCTGTGCCCTGACCTGGAATTGAGACTGCAGCCTTTTGGTGTATGGGATGATGCTCCAACCAACTGAGCCACCAGGCCAGGGCTCAACAGCATAATTGCATTTTTTTTAAAAGACAGAGCTGGGTTCAAATCCTGCCCCTATCACTTGCCCTTAGGCAAGTTGCTTCAGTGCTCTCTCAGCCTAGGTTTCCTCACCTGAAAACTGGAATAAATCATCACCGTATATATAAGATGTTGTGAGGATGAAATGAGATGTAAATAGTTGGACATAAGACCCATAGCAAGTACTGAACAAATGGTAGTTACGATTAACTCAGGGTCCACTTAAGCTCCTATCACACTCTGTTATGTGTCATTTAACGTGCGACTTCTAAGATATTTGCATTTTAACTGTGGTCCTCATGATACTTTTGTCGGTTCTCCAACCGTGGCCCCAGGGCCAACAGCATGAGCAGCATCTGGGACCTTCTTAGAGGTGCGATTTCCAGGTTCCACCATAGACCTACTGAACCGGGATTTCTGAGAGTGGGGCCCAGCGAGCTTTGTGTTAAGGAGCCTGCCGAGTGACTCTAGGGCGCGCTCAGGTTTGAGAACCAAGGTCTAATTCAAGGAGGCTGCTCTGATGCTGGAAATGTGATGCGGGTGGGAGGGCGAGGCAGACCATCCATTCGAGGAGACAGGCTTTAACCCGAGGTAGACTGCAGCGCCGTGCCTGCCATCACTCTGCGCCTCCTTCTTCAGCTTCCAGCTGTTTCACTGCGTCCTACACATTCCAGGGAACTCTGGGGTCGGGGGGAGGGTGGGAGGGGGGCGTTTCCTCTTCACAACTCCCTGGGCAATTGGTTTACGAGTTCTCTACACAATGTTCTCCCTGAACCATTGAAATTGTGGAGCTCCCTGAGCACAGAGCAGGTGGCCTGGAGTGGAGAGGGAGGTTCTTCCCTCTGGGTTTGCAGTCTGAGCTCAGAGAAGCTCTTCTCTGGGAGCGTGCATTTCAGGAAACAGGACCCAGACCCCCTGGTTAGTTACACTCCGCTAGTCGGTTTCTTCTTTTCCCTTTGAACAGTTCAGACTCTTAATTGCCGGTTCCTCCTCCCTGTGAAATAGCATTTCAGATCAAAACACTAATCTAACCCTCAGAGACGTTGGAGGGCTTTTTAATGTAAGAAAATGTCTGCCTATGTCATGCACCGTGTGGCTTCTCCCCTCCCTTGTCGCTCTCAGTGATTTACAGAGGGAAGAGAAATGCAGAGTGACCGAGCGAGGCGCAATGACAACGGAGGCTTGACCTAGTGAGTAATTGGAATCGACATGGTGTGATTCAAAGGCAAAGTGTTTTGTCTTTGTCTTTCAAAGTTCTCCCCTCTTATGTTTTGCAGGGTTGTCTCAAACGTTAGTGTGACTAGAGATGGACAAGCTCCATTAGCCTACACAATGCATCTAGCACAGGACTAGCTCTTTAGAAGAACAACTCTGACCCCGGAAGGCGAGGTCAGGATCCTGGCCGGTGTTGCTCAGTGGTTGAGTGTCAGCCTATGAACCAGGAGGTCACGGTTCCATTCCCTATCAGGGCACATGCCCGGGTTGCAGGCTCCATCCCCAGTAGGGAGCGTGCAGAGGCGGCTGATCAATGACTCTCTCTCATCATTGATGTTTCTCTCTCTCTCCCTTCCTCTTTGAAATCAATATATTAAAAAAAATAAAAGAAAAGATGTGCTGCGGAGAGGACTGGGGAGAGATATAGACCCAGCAAGTCCTCTGGAAGGCTGCCAGCGTGAGCCGTGCCCTGGGCAAGCCCTGGACACATGAAAGGTCTATTAAGAGATTTCTTCTGAGATTTCACATCCAGACACGCCACGGCCGCAGCCCATCTGTTTCATCGACACCAGCCCTGGCCATGTAGCCCTTTAACCATTCAAGGGCTGGAAAGGTTCACTCCCAGAGAACGCGACATCAGGCCACATACAGAGACTCCGCTCATCCCCAAGCAAACCACCCGGACTTCGGGACTTCGGGCCGGCAGCACTGCCAGGCCCACCTGTCCTGCCCAGCGGCTTGCAGGGCGGGCCAAGCCACAGCGACGGCTGTGGGACCTCTGCTGGAGTGCCTGGGAGAGCGGAGTTGTTGGCCAGTTTCTGGAAGGATCGCAGCCATGCTTGTGAGTGTGCAAACACTTCGGATGGAGAGACAGCCGGGGCAGGGCCTCAAACTGTGGCAGACTGACATATGTGTACCTTTTGGGGGAAGGACCATCAATCTTGTTGGCTGTATCCCCCTCTCACACTGTAGCCGTTTTTTCCATCTCTGGAGAGGAAAGGCAATGATTATATGTAATATAAAGCTGTTGTACCTGGAAAAATGTGTGTTCTTTGAATGCCAGTAGCCTTCATATAAAATAGTACTATAGTAACACACACACAACTAAAGTGGCCACATAGAGAAGAGGGCTGGGTTTAGTTCACGTTTGTTCCAGTGAATGAATGGGACTGGGACAGGTGCGTCCACATCACTTGGGGAACTCATTAGTTAACACACATTCCCGGGTACCACCCCTGGTGACTCTAACTCAATAGATCTGGGACTAGGCCTGAGAATCTGTGTTCATGACAAACTCACCACGTGATTCTGACATGTGGCCAGGTTTGGGGATCTTAAAAGGCTTGCCTTTGCCAGCTCTTCTTTGAAGCAAATTTCAGTGGTGGGAGGCTGAGAAGTGTTCAAAAATAACTGAGGCTTAGCATAAAGTGACTCCATTTTGGGCGGTTTGTGTTGTTTTTAACAATGCCATATGCTGGGCTTGAACCCATATTATGGCTGATTCTATATTTCATTTTCAACTCTTCTAAAAAGCAAAAACTGCAGGTTATCTTACAGACTGCTCTATTTCTAACTTTCTGTTTAACTCGAGCCTGGTCTTTTTCCCACTCCACCACTGGCTGTGCATCCCCAACTAAGTGACTTAACTTCAGTAAGCCTCAGTTTCCTTGGTAAGAGATGCTGTGAAGGTCAATGAGCTAATCTACTTACCACGGGTTCCTGGCATATAGTAAGCCCTCAGTAAACATTAACTATTATTAGTAGTAACAATTTCCACTTCCCTATGTGACCAACTTGAATTAAGGCCTTTGCAAATCTCTGTAGGAAAGCCTACTTTTTCTGCCAGTGTGTGCGATGGTGATGTCACAGTTGGGCCGCAGAAACTGCAGAAACTGATCTAATTCATGACCAATTGCTTTGAATTTCAAGTCTCAAAAGAATTATCTCAAGAAACACACCTCTGCCTAGACTTTCTAAGTCTGAGCACCGATGATCTCCTCTGGGAATCAGCTTTCAACAGTAATTCCCGTCTTTGGGATCCGAAAGTATTGATAGCTTCTCCCATACAATTTGGCACATGAATTTGTGTTTAGCAAATAAATAATCATTGTTTTATTGGTTCATTTATGTATAGCATCATCATTAAAGCATTTGCTTTTGAAACCAACTTTTGACTACTTTCAGCATTCCAGGAATTGAGCGCTATAATGTGACTATAAGTTCTTCAGGAGTGGGTTTAGTTCTGGGCACACAGGAGCACAGGAGGTCACCTCATAGTTCTACACCATTATTCTGTCCTTGAAAATGGCATAAAATCAACTTTTGGAGGGGGGTACATTTTCCGTTCGGTTGTTGAAGTGGCTACTGAGTGAAGTCTATTACGAGTCGTTTCGCGAAGGGAAGAATTCTTTGGAAAGCGAAGAATCCCCCCTTCTTCTTGTCTAGCACCCACGAATTCGAAAATCTCTTAGGTGCTGTCAGCTGACAATCTGTCGGCACGTTTTGTTTTGCTTCTGACGTCACGCGAGGTTGACGTGACCCCGCCTCCCGCTAGGGGGCGCGCGACTGCCCGCGGAGCTTCCACCCGCACTGCGCAGCCTCCGT